GCGCGGCCGTGCCCGCGGCCGCGCCGGAGCCCGCGCCGGGCGCGGCGACGCAGCCGCTGAGGATGGTGGCCAATGGGAGGGGGCGGGCCGGGCCGGGGCTGCAGGCGTCGGCGCCGGCTGAGTGTGCCAGGCAGGCGCGCGCCAGGTCAGGGCTGCGGTTGCAGGGTTTGTTGGGTGCGGTTTCGTTGTATTGGGGGTGGGAGCAGCAGTGTGTGTGGCACGGTCGCGGCGAGCTATGGTGCTCGGTAGCTTGTGCACGGACGCGACAGGGCACAAAGGTGATGGCACGCGGGCGGATGACCGCATACAGATGAGGGAGAGGTCTGGGAAGGCAGGCATGGGCATGTGTTGGGCGCCATCATCACCCCACTCGACACTCTCTCAAGCCCGCGCGCGCGCACGCGCACACACACACACACACGCATGCATGCATGCGCATACATACATGCGCGCGCGCGCACACGCACACACACACACACACACACACACACACACGCATACACGCATGCGCACGCATACACACTTTCGCACACAAGAAAACACCCTCACATCCTCACGCACCTCCATACCCCCACGCAAGTCCACATACACACAAGTCCACACACACACAAGTCCACACACACACACACACACACACACACACACACACACACACACACGCATGCATGCATGCGCATACATACATGCGCGCGCGCGCGCACACGCACACACACACACACACACACACACGCATACACGCATGCGCACGCATACACACTTTCGCACACAAGAAAACACCCTCACATCCTCACGCACCTCCATACACCCACGCAAGTCCACATACACACAAGTCCACACACACACAAGTCCACACACACACACACACACACACACACACACACACACAAGCGCGCTTGTGTCGCATGACCGTAAGCAGCCTCAAGCACACTGCAAGCTCCCCAAGCCAGCCTCACGCCCCGCCCCACCAGGCCAGGCTCCACTGGTGGCAGAGCAGCGCAAACGCCTGCTGCCTGCTGGCCAGGCGGAACGAGGTGAACAGCTCCTCGCGCTGCGGGGCACGTGGATGCGTGGGAGAGGGGCGGGGGAGTTGCGCAGTTGCGCAAGTCTGGCGGCTGGCGATCAGCCAAGGAGACAGCGCGCAAAGCGCGCGCAGCGCAGCACGTCCAATTGAAGGCGGCAGTTTGGAGAGGCCACAGCATGCCGAACGAGAATCTCAGGGGGGGGGGGGCGAAGCATGCGCAGCACAGCGAACAGGGTGCGACGCCCATCAGCATGGCGCGGCCGTCTCTCCCCTTGCCCCGGCTCGCCGCGCGACAGGCGGCTGCAAGGGGGCCCGGCAAGCGCCCCCTCCTGTCACCCTGTCATTTCTCCACCCCTCCTCCTCGCCTGCCCCTCTCTCCTCACCCTCTTGACGCCCTCATCCCCCTCACCCACCCACCTGGACGCCGGCCGCGGCATCGTTGTGTCTGACCTGCAATAACATTGCAATAAAAAGGCGCAGCAGGACCATTGCGTCTGTCGAAGGCCACCACGCGCATCACGCCGGGGCGCCAAACACTGGCAGCTGCCAGACCGCGCAGGGGGGGCCCCGCAAGTGCCTCACCGTGATGGAGTTTGGTCGCAGCGGCGGCTGGCGCGGTCAGACTGCTGCTCACCAGGATGGAGTTTGGGAGGCTCAGGACCTTCTTCTTGCGCACGTACACCACTGTGGATGAACACATGGATGAGGGGGTCCAGGGGGGCCACCCACTCAAAGGAGGGATCCGCTGTGTGCGACAACAAATGCGCTGCGCCTGCGTCATGAGGCTGCCAGACCAGACCACTGGTTGGGGCCGCAATCACAAACCAAGCACCCTGGTGTCATGACAATGCTAGTGGTCCCCCCTCCCTTTTCAAACCAGCAGCCGGGCGCCCATGCCTGCGCTCCACCCACCGTTCTCGAACCATCTTTGGTGTGGGCGCGTCCGCACGACAGGGGGCGGGGCATGACGCGCGGGGTGTTACGGCGTCGGTTTTAGGCATCCGGCCTGCCTAGCTGCTGCGCCGTGCCCCCACCCGCGCCGGCTCCTGGATAGCTGCCATCAATCCTGCCCAAAAATCCTTAGCACACGCGGGCACGGCAGAGCCACCTGTCGGACCCGAGATTCAAAATCCCCCCGCCCTCACATGCACTTGTACTTGATGTTGCCCAGAACGTTAGACTGGAACACCATGCAGCCGCTGAAAACCAGCAGCTGCCCAGGCATCACCACGCCCGTGTCCCTGGCGGGGGCGGCGAGGGAGGAGGGGCCAAAAGCGCGCCAAATGGGGCCGACGCTCGGGACAATGCGACACGGGTTGTGGGGTGGCACAGGATGGGGACATCCAAGGGCACCGGGCTGCACTGCTGGGTGATGACAGCAGGTTGTCGATGCTTGCGGGACAATATCGGCATCATGGGGGTTGAGGAGACGGGGCACTCACCAACCGCCGGGCTTGCGGCGGGCGCAGAGGAAATGGGCGAGCAGGGACTGCGGAGGGTGGCAGGGGTGGGCACGCGAACGCGCGCATTGGGTCACAAGCCCCGCGGCAATACTGGACCACGACAGTGTGCCGCACTGCAGCACTGCCCCCAGCCGCCGGCGCGCGGCTCCGCTGCGGGCGCGCAGCAACCGCCGAGGCGCACGCGCCCCGCCAGCGCCGTGCGCCCGCACCTGCCCAGAGGACAAGCCAAAGGCGCGGCGCAGCGCCTCCGCTTTCGCGGGGTCGTTGATGTTGGTGCGCATCTCCTGCTTCAGGGGGTGCAGTAGCGAATCCACGATCGCCTCTGGCCGCCAGCCCACGGATACAAACGCGGACGTCGGCGGCCCGCACAGCCGCGGCTCCGCCGTGCAGCTGCCGGCCGCGACGCCGGCATCGCTGCCGCTGCTGCATGGCGGGTCGCACGACGGGAAGCCGTTCAAGCCCATCCTTGAGGGTGCTGCGGCGCGGCAGCGCCGCACGGGCGCGGCCTAGGGGGCGCGCCGAGGCGCCGTGGCGCGTTCGAGCGACGTCGGACCGAATTCGGGCGCCTGCGGGCGCCGCGCTGCTCTGGGTGGCCACGTGTCTATTTTAATAGGGGCCTCGACCGCTGCTGCTGCGAGCTCAAGGACCTATTGGGTGAGCACGGGATTGATCAAGGCCTCGCGGCAACTGTTGCCGCGCTCGGGTTGGGCTCGAGAGTGAGCTTCCGATGCTGATCAAATAACACTGAATCAAACGCGCTCACATGCCACCTGATGATGGTGGTGCATGTGCGTCGCCTCGGTGCGCAACACTGGTGTGAGCCTCATCACCAGGGCGCCGCATGCTCGTGCCTCCACAGCCCATCCTCGCGTGCCACCTCACACAAGCGAATGAAGGGTTTCCCAGCATAGAGGCTTGGGCCTCACTGCTGGGTTGTACAGCAGCACATCCTCAGGGTGGCCGGGCGTCACCCCAGCCATTGCTGATGCACCCGGGGTCATGCAAAGGGCCACCCAAAGCCAACCGCCACCCCTACGATCCCCAGCACACACACAGGCCACATTACACAGTGACTAAAAAGCACCTATGCCTGCTACCTGGGCCACCAGGAGGCCGGCGCCAACACAGATCATCCCCTTGCCCCGCATGCCAAAAGCGCAAGACGGCCCGCATGGAACCCCACCCCCAAATCTGCACATGCAGGCCCCTGCACCCCATCCCTCAGCGGGGCTCGTGGTGCGACGCCTCAAACTTGGCGATGCGCAGCTGCTGCTGCAGCTGGGAGAACCAGCGCGGCTTGGTCGGGGCTGACCCGGGGTCCCCAAACTCGGGATCCCCAATGCGGTAGCTGCTGCCCCATGCGGCGCCGAATCCCCAGCCGAGGCCAAGGCCAACGCCGCAGCCACCACCTACGCGCGAGAGGGGCAGACGGGCGATGGTGATCCAGGGCAGGCGTTGGATCAGAGCCCCCAACCTTGATCACAGCACCCCATCTGATGCTGCTATCAATGCAGCGACCCTGGCCTTCGGCCAGGTCGGACGCAGTTGCGCATGGGCGGCGGCAGCAGCATGCCCCTCTCACCTACGCCCAGGCCTCCAAAGCCGATGGGGCCGCCTGCATGGTGGTCGTCGTGCGCGAACAGTCAGCAGGATGCGGGTCTCGGGGTTGAAGCCAGCACTGCACACACCACACAGGCAAGCAACCAACACGCATTTGCTGAAGCTGATGCACAACTCACGCTAGCAGCCGGCGGCGCGTCCTCACAGCACCCTGACAACTCACCGCCGAACCCCCAGCCGATGCCGAAGCCGCAGCCCGCGCCGGCGCCTGGGATGGGCCGTACGATTGCAACAGATGCATGTCATGCGGGCCTGCAGGACCCTGCACAAATTGACACGTCCGGGCGCAGGTAGGGGGCGTGTGCAGCGCACCAGGTAATTGACAGCTGCGTTGCTCACCAAATCCCACGCCAGGCCCGACGAAAGTTTTTCCGCCCATTCCGAGGCGCTGCCCGCTGTGCTCGCTGATGCAGCAGCAGCTGCAAGACGCACGCGGCGCCGCTTGGTGCTTGACGCTCTCTCACGCCCCCTACAGGACAGTATGCGATGTTTTAGCAAAAGTAAGGCCCTAGCCGATTGTTTATCAAAGTATGCTACGGGGATCTGATCAGAAACTTGCTACTGAATGAGTGCTTTCGAATCGGTTGTTCTGTTTTCAATCAATATTCCGCATGACAAATAGGTCATTACACAGTCAGCGCTTGGCATCGCCACTCCCTCATCGGGAGCATCACGACACAACACCGACCGGGACACAGGGCTAGGACGCAACACGAATGCAGGCACTCCGTCCTGTTGACCGAGTGGCCAGGCCTCGACTGCCAGCACGCCACAGCCAGTGCGCCAGGGCGGTGAGGCCACCTGCGCACGCCGCTTGCGTTGGCACTGGGCTGGGCGCCTCGAAAGCTCAAAGCTGATCCAGCGGTCCCTTGTTTCTGCCCATGCACGCAGGTGTCGGGTGCACAGCAGTTTTACCCACCGCAGCAGCCACAGGCTGCTCTGAAACGAGACCTGTCGGAGGCGCTATCGCGGCTGCCAGGCCTCGAGGGGGTCCTGCCAGGCGGCGACATATCGGTGCGCCTGCCGCATGGCCCTGGGAGTTGGGGCGTGGCGTGGGGCAGGGCGAGCAGGGTCGGGCAGGCTGACGGTCTCTCGAGGGCGGGGGCTGCACGCACAGTCACCTGTGCCAATGATACGAGCACTGGCCAGCCTGTTGGGGCCTGGGGCGCGGCGGCGCATGCCATAGGGGCGGTCTTGTCCGCATGCGCGGCACGTCAGTGGGTGCGCGCGCTGCAGCACCCTGAAGGAATTCTGAGCTTGCGCCTCGCAGCGCACACACTGCTAAACAAACTTGTCCATAAACATACAACAAAACAACGTGCAATCGCTCGCACACCCGAGCACCTCTTCCGCTCGCGCCCCCCCCCCCCCCTCACACACACGCACATACTCTGTCTCTCCTGCTCTTGCACACACACACACACACACACACACACACACACTCACGCAGACTCTGACACACACATACTCTTCCCCACTCAGACCAAGCAGCGGATCCTGTCTCTCGTGTCCGACCTGGAGCGCAGCGCGCCCTTCCGCCCCGACACACCCGGTGCCGCCGACGCCCTGCTGGGGGAGTGGGCGCTGGTGTTTGCGAGCGACGGCACCGTCGTCACCCGCACCGCGCCCGCCCAGCTGCTGGCGCAGCTGACGGCGCTGCCCGGCGTGGGGCTGATGAACATCCGGCAGCAGCTGGAGAGCCCCGCAGACGGTGGGGCCAGTGGTGGGGCCCTGGGGGATGCTTGAAGGCACTGCCTCGGACCCTGAGGATGGGCGCACGGCATCTCTGGCACGACGCCCGGCGGTTTGATCGGCTCGGTCGAGGGGCCTGCGGCGGGCCAGCCAGCCGCAGGGCTCCCCTTGTCAATGCTGCCCGTGGCCGCAGCATGTTCGATGGCCCCGGCCGGCCCCACGCGCCCCGCAGGCGCGGACGGCGGCGTGGCGGGCGCAGGCGTAAGCTGCAGCAACGCGCTGGAGGTTGGGCTGGGGCCTTTCGGCACGTGGCAGGTGCGATCAGCCGCCTCACAC